TCTCTTTTATTGCTGAAAAAATTCCATTGTGTATATATGCCACATTTTTTTATCCATTCATCTCCTGAAGGGCATGTAGGTTGGCTCCACAGTTTAGCTATTGTGAATTGTTCTGCTATAAATATTGATGTGACTGTGTCCCTGTAGTATGCTGATTTTAAGTCCTTTGGGTATAGACCCAGGAGAGGGATAGGATAGTTGGGTCAAATAGGATAGTTCCATTCCCAGATTTCCAAGGAATCTCCATACTGCTTTCCATATTGGCTGCATCAACTTGCAGTCCCACCAGCAATGTATGAGTGTGCCTTTTCCCCCACATCTTCTCCAATACTTATTGTTGTCTTCATAATAGCTGACATTCTGACTGGAGTGAAATGATATCTTAGAGTAGTTTTGATTTGCATTTAGTTGTGCAACCATCACTACTAGCTAATTCCAGACATTTCTTCACCTTCCAGAAAACCCTGAAATCATCAGCATCACTCCCTATTCCCTTCTTTCCCCAATTCCTGACAGCCACTAATCTACTTTCTTCCTTTGTAGATTTGCTTATTTTGGAAATTGCACATAAATTGAATCATATAACATGTGGCCTTTTGTGTCTGGCTTCCTTCACTTAGCATAATGTTTTCAAGGTTCACCTATGTTAAAATCTTACCTTATTCCTTTTTATGATCAGATAAAAGTCCATTGTATACCATTGTATGGCTACACCGCATTTCATTTATTTGGGAGCATTTGAGTTGCTTCCACTTTTTTAAATAGGAATAATGCTGCTCTAAAATATTTGTTTGATCCTGTCTTTCTTGCTGCATGCCCTACTACATGTGTTTGTGTGGACATATGTTTCCATTCCTGTAGGAGTGGAATGGCTGAATCATATGGTACTTTTGAGTCTGACATTTTGAAAAACTACCAGAATATCACCAGCAATGACTGAGACTTTCAGTTTTTTCACATGTTCCCCAACATTTGTCATTGGGTGTCTTTTTTATTATAGCCGTCTTCATGGTATGAAGTGGTGTCTCATTCACATTTCAAATTGAATTTCCCTAATGATGATAATGTTAAGCATCTTCTCTAATTACATATCGTTCTTAGAGAAACATCATTTCAAATTATTTGTCAACTTTTTACTTGAGTTATTTTCTCCTGAGTTGTAGTATCTTTGTGTAATCTGGATATAAGTTCTTTATCTATAAATATTTTCTTCTGTTCTATGAGTTTTTCCTTCTTTTCGCTTCCTTGATGGCATCCTTTGGGGTATAGACAAAAATTTTGGTGAAATCACATTTGTCTGTTTTTTTTTCCTTTCTTTGATTGTTCTTTTGATGTCCTATCTAAGAAACCCATGTTTACTCTACAGTCACAAAGCTTACTCCTGTGTTTTCTTCTGAGAGTTCTATAATTTTCACTTTTACATGTCTGATCCATTTTGACATGATTTTTGTGTATGATTCCAGGTTCTATTCAACTTCATTCTTTTGCATGTGGCTATTCAGTTACCAGCTATCAATTATTGAGTTCATGGTGTTAAGCATTCCTTCATTTGCATGGACCAGTTGTATATTTTCCTGAAAAAATATCATTTTGAATACTTGGTCACATATATTTTGTGAGAGTCAGGACAAGGTCTTGCTATGTTTCCCAAACTGGTCTCAATCTCCTGAGCTCAAGTGATCCTTCTACCTTAGCCTCCCAAGTAGCTGGGACTACAGGTACCTGTCATCATGCCTGGCCCTTTGCTGACTTTTTTATGATAATGTACCAGGTACTATTCTTGATTCTGGGAAAACAGAGATAAATAATTCATAGCTGTTGCTCTTCATAGATCTAACCTTTGTGGTGTGGGGAATTAAATAGAAATAGCAAATAACATGGTGAAATAGTGTGTGTATGATGCTGGCCCTGTGCTTGGCCCCTAGAGTGTGTATAGTAAATGGTGCCTTCTCTGAAAATAGTGTTATTAATGGCCATTATTATTATAAATGTTAATCCTGAAGTATGCACGAAGTGTTGTGGAGGAAGGAGTGACTGACTTTTCCGTGTCTCCAGATTGTGTCACTTACAAACACTTCTGGGGCCCAGGAAGAGGAGGGGTGCAGGGCCTTTGAGAGAGGATGGACCTCAGGTGTGTGTATCTTGGAAGCAGCTGGTTTTCTTGCCTTGTTGAGTGTCATCTCAGAACTTGGCTATGTGACTGCTGATTCCTGTCCCACTCTGTACCTAAGAAGGGACATCCACCTTCATAGCTCCGTACAGATTTTGAAGGGAATTGTAAAGGCTAATTGTAAATTATGAAATGTTTCTAAATAGATTACATAGGTATGTTGTCTTGTCTTGAATATCATATAAATAGATCCTAAAAATCTCTATTCCTTGATGACTGACCTCATAAATTATAGAGCAAAGGTGACTTTTTCATGTAAAAATTATAGCACTCTTTGTAAAATAGCAAAAGGTATTAATTTATATAATTCTATCATATGACTCAATCATTACTAATAGTGGGAAGTATTGCTGGATTGCATTTGGGCTCCACATTCCAAAAAGAACCCATTATAATTTTTTTTGGGGGGGTGCTGGGAATTGAACCTAAGGCCTTGTGCTTGTGAGGCAAGCACTCTACCAACTGAGCTACATCCCCAGCCCAAAAAGATGATTTTAAGAAATCGTTTTTCCACCACATTGGTCATTTGTTTTGTCATCTTCTAGCACATGTTAGCAAAGAAGTGAGAACAGGTGCCATAAGTTTAAGAAAAATGTGTTGGAGATTTTTTAAGAAACCTTAAACCACACACATTCCAAAAATTAACATAATTTAATTTAAGCTACAAAACACTTTAGTCTGGTTAGGTAGGATGCAGTTGTTTTAAAGGATAATTTTAGAACTGCTGATGCAGGGCTTAGATCTCAATTTAAACACATAGTATTCTGTCAAAAAAAAAAAAAAAATGAAGGTTTGCTACACATGGTGGTGCACATCTGTAATCCCAGTGGCTCAGGAGGCTGAAGCAGGAGGATTTCAAATTCAAGACCAGCCTCAGCAACTTAGTAAGGCCCTAGGCAACTTAGGGAGACCCTGTCTCAAAATAAAAAAATAAAAAGGGCTGGAGACATGGCTTAATGGCTAAGAGCCCCTGGGTTCAATCCCTGGTACAAAAATTAATAAAGATTTTAATATCTGATTTTTTTGTCATTTATCTACCAGCTATGGATTTTCATTCAGTCATCATCTTAGTTCAGTCCATCAGGCATGTATCAGCTGCCAGATACACAGAGAGATCACACCCTGTTCAAGGGTGTGATTCCTTGTCCTGAAGGAGCTCATGATTTGTAGGAGACACAGTGTCCAGTGTAGGACACATACATTGCTAGTTACAAGAAGCAGCAAATTTTGATACCTGCTCTCATGAAGTTATCAAAGGCTTAGAAGCACAAAGCAAGCAATGATTGGTCCAGATTCTGAATGGGGCCAATCTGGAAGAGTTTTCCCAAAGAGCTGGCACATGATCTGGAGCCTGAAGAGCCAGCAGAGATAGGGTCCAGGAAGGCCACCATGTGAGCACAGAGGTAGAGAAGGTATGCAGGGTAAACTGAGGAAGTGAGGCCACCTGGAACACCTGGAATGATGAAGGGATGTAGTAGGGCATGCAGCAAGAAAGACAGGATCAAACCAGTGTGTAGCCTTGATTTAGCTAACTAATGAGTTCAGACTTGATTTTGTACCACTAGGGAGCCATGGAGGATTTTTGTGTAGGACTGTGGCATGATCAGTATAGAAGGAGGTCAAAGATTAAGTTGAAGGTGGGGGAAAAAAATTAAAGACCATTGTTAGATGATGAAAATATCATCTTTCCAATTTTATTTCATTTAAAAATCCCAAGGAGTGGCTATGTGTTTCAATTTTAATAGTTAATTTTGCATCTGTCATACTATTTCTCTCCTCTTGTACTTTTAACAGAATCCAAGCAAAAGCTGATAAAGCATGAACTTCTTTTTTTATTTTTATTTTTTTGCAAGAATAACATCTGAGTCAGTACGCCAGATTTTCTCCTTAAATATCTCATAGCCTGGGCTGGGGATGTGGCTCAAGCGGTAGCGCGCTCGCCTGGCATGCGTGCGGCCCGGGTTCGATTCTCAGCACCACATACAAACAAAGATGTTGTGTCCGCCAAATACTAAAAAATAAATGTTGAAATTCTCTCTCTCTCTACCTCTCTCTTTAAAAAAAAAAAAAAAAAAAAAACAGAAAAACAAATATCTCATAGCCAAGAGAAAGAACCAGCACTCAGTTTTACATTTTAGGAACAGGACAAGGAAATGGGTCTATATTACAGAAGAAAGTAGAATTGACATAAAGCAGGACAGTTAGATAAGACTTTAGTCTCTAGGCTAGGACCGAAATCAGTTACTAGGATTGCACTCCAGCTGTGCCTCTCATCAGCTGTGCAACCTTAGGCATGTTACTTAAGCAATCCGTGCCTCAGTTCTTTCATCGGTAAGATACAGGTAACAGTAGTTATCCGCAGGCATTGTTATGAGGATTAAAAAAATTGACATATGGAAAGTGCTCCAAACAGTGCCTGGACAATAATAAGAGCTCAATAAATGTGAAGAGTTGTTATTTCATTGCTAGCTAATAAAAATGAATTTTCTGGCCATGACACATTATAATTTACAAAACTTTTTCACATACCCACTAGGTCTGGAATTGCCTAGCAAAGCATGTCTCAGAACATGCCCCTATCTTTAAGCAAAACACAAGGTGTATATTTCTTTAAAAAGTATGAGGTTTGCATAAAAAAGCTTGTATATATAAGAGCTTGTACACAAATTTTTGCATATAAAAACTTGTACACAAATTTTATATTTTAAGGAAGTCCAAGGATGAGTTCAGTCCTCGAATTCTTCAGGCAGCAACTTGGTATCATTTTCTTATGAGGAAAATTCTCTGAAAATGTCCTGGAAACTGAACTATGATTTCATTTATTCTCTAGGAAAATCTCACCTGGCCATTGTCCAGCGGGTGAATAACGAGGGAGAGGGGGACCCTTTTTATGAGGTGATGGGCATTGTCACACTGGAGGACATCATAGAGGAGATCATCAAGTCAGAGATCCTGGACGAAACTGACCTCTACAGTAAGTTCAGGGCCTCGGCTGTTTCTCCGAGGTCATCTTATTTTCCTCACAATTAGCTTGATGTGTACAGTGTAAAAATGTCAGGGCAAGCCCTATGCACTGATGTGTGACAGCCACCTCTGCCTGGTGCTGGCACAGCCAGATACCATGGCCTGAATCAACCTGAGTCACTAGCAAAGTGTGAATCAGGAGACAACCTCCAGGAACTAGCCTAGACTAGGGAAAGGAGACCTCCCAGCCTTTGGATGAAAAAGAGACATGGTGTACACTTCAGGGTGGCTGGAACCTTTCTGTCCTTGTTTCTGCCCCGTGTTGTTCCTGAATTGCCTTTTTGTATACTTGGAGGCAGATCCCAGGACCCCTTGGAGTTCCACTTACACCAGACCACCAGGGGGACCGCAGTGGAGACTGTCGTGGCATTGCCCTCTCCACACCTAAGCCAAAAACTTAAATGTCCCTTCTTGGATGCTGCTCTTCTCCCCGATCCCTTTTGACATCACCACCCTGGGTTCCTCATTGTCCCCACTCGCCCCTGAAGCAAGTGCCTGCCTGGCTCCTACCCCTACTCCCCTCACCCTCCTACCCTACCACCTCAGGAACAAAATGGACTCCTCTCTGCAGACACTTCTTTGACTTCCAAGCCTTAACAAAGCTCTGCTTGCAAACATTACGAAGGCGTGCTTTGTCTCTGGGATGGGAATGTTTTCTAAATCCAGGGAAGTCACTGGGCCAGGAAGTGTTTCCTCCTCAGGATTTCATCTCATGGGACAGCCATCCCTTTCCCGTCAGATATCTCAGTTCAGACCTCTGTCCTTAGTTTGCTAGACGTAGCCTTTGAGAAATGCTCCCGGGAGGAAAAGCATTGATTCCATATGGTGCAGAAAGGGAGCCTCCCCTCTGGATCTAGACAAGATCAAACCTGAAAGCTGGGCCAGAACTTGACAAAATCTAGGGGGAGTGTCACAGTGCCTCCCTCCAGGGACCTGTTTTTTTCTGTGCTGTGCTGGCCAGACTCTTTGAACAGGGATTGAGCTCAGAAATGGCCTCTCCATCTCCATTCCAGCTCCCTTTTCCACCTGTGCCCACACCCTTGCTCTGGAACTCCCAAGTGTCTCAGTAGAGACAATTGTGAAAACATCACATTGGAGTATTATTGTCTGAGAGTTGTTTAAATGAGTAAGGTCCTCTCAGTGTATTTGTTTAAACAACCTTACTGTTTCATTTCTAATTAAAGAAATGAAGGCAGATCCCAGGACCCCTTGGAGTTCCACTTACACCAGACCACCAGGGGGACTGCAGGAATGTTTCTCTAATGACTAAATATGGAGTGCCATTCTGATGGGGGAGAGGGAGGGATATGTAGGCAAACGTGTCATACAAATCAGAAGGTCCTGAACCTTGACTTGCTACTCATATGTTGAATGATCCTCTTTCTACAGAAGAGGGTCAGGGATTTTCTACCCTTAAATAAAAAATTCTGGTGCAATTCTTTAAGAACTGTGAAAAGACCGATGAGCCAGGAATATTGTGTTTCTTCGTACATGACCCTGACTTCTTATGTGATCTGGACACCTGCATCTCCACACCTAAGCAAAAGGAGTATTGTTAAAGAAGGGACCCAATGACTACAAAGACCCACAAAAGTGGGTGGAAGGGCACTTTCTCCCTTCTAGAAGGAAATTTAAAGGATCCAGAAGAAGCAGGCTCCAAAAGAAGAGGGAGTCAGATTCTGGAGTCCTATTTCCTGCCCGGGTTCACCCCCTTCCATTTCTACTGCCTCCAGTCCACTTGCACAATAAGTTCCCTGTAGCCTTATTGTTTTTCAGGTCAAGTTTGGAGAGAGAACCCAGGTCCCTTTCCTGTTCCCCTTAGCACAGGTGAGATAGGCTAGCAGTTTCAAAATGTTTTCAAAGCTCAGGGAAAGCAAGAGAAATGACCAGAAAACATCCCCACTAAATGTACAGCTCTGTTTTTTTTTTTTTTTTCAAAGACAACCTTAAAAATTAAGAAAAAAAATTAAATTGGGGGAAGCAAATTTTCTCAACCTCTAATCACATGCCCAGTATACAGGCTTTTGGAGGCTCCAGGACCTGCCTAAGTCCCCTGCATTTATAGATTATGGATCCACTCTTGTTTCTTCTCCTTTCTTTCTTATTGTATTTTCCCTGATTTTTCCCAGTAGAGGGGCTGGGGTTGAAGCATGAGAACTCTGGCTGGTAAGAAAGTGGCATGCCTCCGCTATTGCTCAGAGCATGGTTTAAATCAGCAGGAAGATGAACTCAGTTTGGGGGAAAAGAGGGGGTCAGAAGCAGAAATGCCCAGGGCCCCACCAACCGCAAGAATGTCAGTCCTTCAGGTTTGTATGACTGTATAAGCGCTTTCACGTGTGATCTCCTGTTGATGTTTCATAATAACTACATTAGATAAGTAGAAGTGCTATGTTTAAATATGCTTGCCTCCTTGTATAGATTAAAGCAAACAGAAACTCTGGTGCTTAGAGAGGCTGCACAGCTGATAAGTAGAGGAGCCAGCGCCAGAATCCCGACTTGGGAACCCCACGCCAGCCTTTTCCCCTTTGCTACTTCTACACCTAAGAGTAGATCACACTGAGAAGTTGAGAGCTATCTCCCACCTGCTACCCCATGTTGGTCACCTCTCTTCTAGCAAAGAGGCATTGTGATGTCCTAGAACAGAAGATAATAGTTGGCCCTGCAGAAATGTGTGTGGTCCCAAAGGATGTGTCTGTGTCCCCTGTGACTCTTGTTAAATCTCTAAAGATCAATAATGATTCTGAGATAGTTGAAATCTGACCCCTGTGACCCTGCAGCCGACAATCGGAAAAAGCAGAGGGTCCCACACCGGGAGAGGAAGCGGCATGACTTCTCCTTATTTAAGCTTTCCGACTCAGAAATCAGAGTGAAGATCTCGCCACAGCTTCTGCTAGCCACGCACCGATTCATGGCCACAGGTAAGAGCCCACCCTGGTCTCCAGCCTAAAGCAGCCCCAGCAGAATCTAGGGTGGGACCAGGCACCACCCACTGTAATACCTTCCAACTTCACCTCCACATGTGGAGGCACCAAGAAACCACTGTTCTAGGAAGAAGGTTGCCTTCTGCAGGGTGACAGAATGCCTCTCCCTGTCCTGAGGTGAGAAGCTAAAAATAAACTCCTTGTGAGGAAGGTAAAAATTGTCTTTGAACTCTCTGACCTTCTCAGCCACACTTAATCAATGTGCTAAACTAGAATGAGCATATCCATCTCTTAAATTCAGTGTTTTATTAAGTCAGCATGTATTTATTGAGTATACAATGAGTGCTAGGAAGCACCGTTCCATGTGCTGAAAAGTAGAAAATTTTAAATTAGAGCTTTTTTAAAGTCAGGTTTTCAACATGTGATCTAGTTCTGAATACAGATTTCTTTCAACCACAGGCTCATTTCCCAGAACAAAGCAGTTCTACCTGTTTAATGTAATCTAATAATATGCTAAAGTATAAATATATAATAATATCTATTAATAAATAAATGTGATACAATGATGCTTCACATTATTGACAACTTCTCATTTAAATAAGTACCTGTCTCAATAAACTTGGGATTACATTGCATTCATCAGACAAATGTCATGCAGATAAGTCAGAAAAAATTCTCTATATTTCATTCTATGATAGTGTTAAAGTCTTTGTTCTCTATATGGCTTAGTTATCCATGCCCAACTTTAAATAAAAATCAAAGAGAAAATTAATAACAAACTGACAGTTCCAGACTGGTGACCTACTTCTCCTGAGATGCTGTTGCAGAGACACAAGTCCCCAGAGGGCATGAGGAAGGCCCCAAGATGCACACTTGGATTTAGAATCCTTCATCCCCAAGGAATCACAGAAGCCCACCAGCCCAGTGCCCGGGGATTTGAAGGGGGTGTTCTACATGAACTCAGCTGCACCCACTCTGACTCCTCCCAGCTACCACTGCTGAAGTGGGCAGGGCATGGGAGGGGCTCACTCCTCTCTACCTCCCACTGTCTCCTAGAAGTGGAGCCTTTTAAGTCTGTGTACCTTTCGGAGAAGATCCTGCTCCGTCTCCTGAAACATCCCAACGTGATCCAGGAGCTGAAATTTGACGAGAAGAACAAGAAGGCCCCAGAACACTACCTCTACCAGCGCAACCGCCCTGTGGACTACTTTGTGCTGCTCCTACAGGTGAGTAGGAAAGTCAGGGAACTTGTAAGGGCAAGAGGAAGGCATCTGCAGAGCAAAGGGGAATGGCATGCCTTCCTCCATGCCAGGTGCCAAGCCTTGGCTGGCTGCCGTGAGAGAAAGACCACTGGGGAAGTCATTTCTGTGTGACCTACAGGAGGGGCCTAGGCAGAGAAGACTAGTGTCCTAGGAGAGGCGAGATCTTTGACCTTTAGTCTGACCCCTCAGTGATATTTCAGGAGGGACTGAACTTCTGAAACTGCTACCCTGCACAATCCCAGGGATCTCCTTATCTCTGCTTTATCCCTCAAAGTGAAACTGTCTACTGCCTCATAAACTTTAGACAATTCTTATTTAAACCCTTTCCTCTGTCAAGCTGAAATCTCACTGTCTCTGACTTCCACACTGGTCCTCTTTGTGCTCTCTGGAGGCACATGGGACGCATTTGTTGTCTGTGCCACATTCAACCTTTGCATCTTCTCCCCTTCAGAGGAGCAGGAAGGGAGAAGATGACTAAGTAAAATAAGTGCAGCATCTTCCCGGTATTCATTCAAGGATGATCACTTTCTGCCCTGGGTCAGGCCTGACTTGAATAAGTGTCAGGTGTGGTTCTACTGGAACACTGTTGGTGCCCTGTCCTGGCCCCACCATGAGACAGAGAATCTCTTCCCAACAGAATCATATGGACCCTAAAAAAATGATGGTCTTGAGAACTTGATAAAGCTCAATGAACTTAGAAATTACCTCTCTTTGTTGTGGTCCACCTTGGCCTCTGCTCTGACACTGTCATTTGCCTCACAAATATCTTTCTAAATAGCCTCAAAAAAAAAAAAAAGGACCTTTCTTCTCCAAAAATGGAGTCACGTTCTTCAGTGTTGGCAATTGAGATGAGTCCCGTTACAGTATTTATAAAACATAATACCACATAAAACCTTTGTCTTACACTAATCAAAAAAATCTTGGTTCTCATATAAAATGTGAAGGGAACAAATTTTATAGCAAAAGGGTAGGCTCAGAAATTGGAAAGATATGCCTTTAAAATTCCAATGTTGCCATTTTCTAACTAACCTGACTGTTACTTAACTTCTCTGAGCCTCAAAATTGATGCATGTAAACTAGGGATAAAAATGGTATAGATCCCATGGGTCTGTGGGGTCAGTTGAAAAAGAATCCATGTTTGCATATAACCCAGTATCAGATCCATAAACACACTATACACTAGCCATAACTATCATCTATAATTCAAAAAGCTTCACACATGATTATATTTTTTTAGTTGTAGATGAACACAATAAATACCTTTATTTTATTTATTTATTTTTATGTGGTGCTGAGGATTGAACCCGGTGCCTCACATGTGGTAGGCAAGTGCTCTAACACTGAGCCACAACCTCAGCCCCATGATTAGATTTTATCTCAGCCAGACTTTTTTTTTTTTTTTTTAATGGTCTAATCTCAGACTAACCCAGTTGGGGGAATGTTTATTTATGGGGCTCTGACTTTTAGCTGGTTCTTGATCCTGTGTCATGGGAGGGCCATTACTGTATGCAAGGAGAGCTTGGTTATTCATGACTGGGTGTTGCTTTATGAATAATGAAGGAATGAGTTTACTGCGAAGAGTTACCAAAGCTGGAGCTGCTGTTTTTGCAGCATAGATCTGGATAGAATTAATATTGCCCTGTGATAAAAACAAAAATCTGCTTGTCATCCAAGCCAAAGTCCTTAGGGTCATAATTTATAATAGACCTGGAATTGCTCATACACACAACGCCCTCAGTACCCTCCTTCTTTCTCCAGGGTAAAGTGGAAGTGGAGGTCGGTAAGGAAGGCCTTCGCTTTGAGAATGGAGCCTTTACCTACTATGGTGTCCCAGCCATCATGACTACTGCTTGCTCAGGTATTCCATTTTCCAAGCCATGGCTTGTTGGGAAGCAATGGAATGTCTTAGAAAAATCATCTAGGCTCAAGTCTTGACTCCTCTTTTGACTCCTGTCATGGACTCTGGACAAGCCACTCAACTTCCTCGGCTTCAGTTTCCTCTCTGAAAAATGGGCATAAAAATCACTTTTCATAAACTTTGTTCATGCTTAAAAAAAATAAGAAAGGAAAAATGAAGTTGGAAAAAGCAATCACATTATCAAGTGTTGGGGATGGAGAGTGGTATTTCTCAGTGTGAAAGACAAGTTTATTTTGCTTTTTTATACTTGTTTCCTACCTTCCCTTTGCTTGCCTTGTTTTTACAGGGTTAATTGGTAGTGGGGGGCGGAATGGAAGTAGAGATTCCTAGAAGAAGGTGTGTTTTCTGAATGGCCTCTGAAACCCACTGCATCCTTCTGTCCTTAGATAATGACGTGCGGAAGGTTGGAAGTCTGGCTGGATCCTCTGTCTTTCGTATGTATCTCTCAAACCCCTTCCTCGTCCTTCCCATCGTGGTCCTGCCTCAGCCTACTCTGGGGACCTGGACCAAGCACTTTGAGCCTGGGATGGGCTAACACAAATGCTGGCAGCCTCTTTGTAATACTCTGCCAGGAACACTGCCTCCTGCCAGGTACCCACAGACCACAGGGGCTCAGGTTCTGAGTGTCCGGAATGTTTTCTGTGGCTTCTCTGCTCACATGCAAGTAATGAATGGTGGTAGGGGGTAGGTTTGTGATGGAGGTACCATTTATTGCCACCTGCCAGGCATTGCAGGCGGGTGACTTGTGTGCTTTGGTGGAGGTCAATCTTTCCTTCTCCACAATGATAATTCGCCCTGGCCTTTACTTGAAAACCCCCATGTGCTATTGTTGTGTCTTGTGATATTTGTCCTCAGTAAAAAGTGACTGTGAGATTTGGGGATGTAAATCTCAGGCTGGTGCAATATGTTGCTTATCTGCTTCTCTCTCCTTGCTCACCACCTCTCAGCTGGTGACAAGGTGGCTACCAGCTGGCCATGCATGCTGCTGGGGCAGGGGGCAGGGGAAGCTGGCACAGGGCTAATGGCTGGTTTGCTCTGCACCTTCTGTGCTGTATCTTCTTGCTATTTCCTGTGTACAATTATTGCACATGTGTTTAGAGAGCATGGCATTTATTGTAATAGCAATGATTCAGAAAGAATTCTTTCTCTAGATTTCCTTTTGATTCACTGGTCTGAATTTTGCATTGCATTCAGCTGTTAGTGTTTACGATGGCCACTTAAATACCAAATGGGGTGTTTGTTTTCTCTCATCATAACAAAGATTTTGCATATGCCTTCTATTGGGATTTATTAGAGGGTCCCAGAGTTTGATATCATAGTCCCCAGAACACAGAAAGGTAAATGCCATTTTAGAATGAGAGAAACTAAAGAAATGACTGGCTCCAGATTACCCAGCAAGTTAGTGACTTACCTAGATGCATCCTGGTGTCCAGACTAGCTCATGCAGCACGATGAAATACAGATTTTAGATCTATCATGTTCCAGAATGCAATTGCATTGTGGAAACAGTGGAACAATTGGCCATGTAATTTCACTTTCCAGCCCAGCAGATGGCTAAAGTGAAGTCTATGTATCTGCCACACCAAAGAACTCGAATTAAAGATCTGTTTTTTAAAAAAGGTACATAATTATACTTATGAAAGCCAACAAATCTCAATCAAGGTTGATGAAGGAAGCAAGTACTCAACATAAGAATGCCAGATGGGTGAGGAACAGGTTGCTTTCTCAAAAGGCGATTTCTACCATCTATCACAAGACTGCTCTTGGAACTCTAATATGTTCCTAGAAATGTTGGCCCTGTTCTTGCTCTTCTATAAGAAAAAAGAGATAGGAACTCTGAGAAAAAAAAGAGTTTCATGGGGCTTCTCAACCCACCCACCCAATTTAAATGGCCTGTCTTTAAGAAAACAAATTTTAAAAAGTCCTCTGACACTGCCAAGAAAAAGAAAAAAAATTAATAGGAAGATCTTATCTTTTTTTCCTTATTTCCTTACCTCCTGATTCTAATTCTTTCTGTCAAATCCTTCAGTCTTATCAGTGAGACAGGAGTAAACTCGCACTGCTTCCTCCTTTACTAAAGGGAAGCATTAAACTCCCTCCCTATGCTTCTGAGTACCTTCATAAATCTTCCAGAGCAAAAACCAAATGATAGGGCTGGGGATATAGCTCAGTTGGTAGAGTGCTTACCGCCTATGCACAAGGCCCTGGGTTCAATCCCCAGCACCACAAAAAGAAAGATAGAAAGAAATGATATTAGCCAATAGGGGTAAAGAGAGATATTTTTCCATCCTCCCCCAAGACCTCCCTACTAGGGGCATGGTGTGTGAAATAATTGCAAAAGCTACCCATACCCAGGGTTGTTCCCCCACCCACCAGCAATATCTTTCGCTGGCCCAGAACCTTAGTTGATAGGTTGAAGGACAACATGATCCTAAGCTACAGAGCAGTAAACTCTTGCAGGGTCTTGGCCTAGCAAACTTCCCCTGTCCCTGAAGCCAGCTTGCAGCTTAAATAGCCTTTTAGGGTGAGAAGTAAAATGGAATTTGCCAGATCATTGGCCCTGTGACTATGCATTGAAGTTGAACTGAGATTCCAAGGAAGCCTCTCTGGTTTTCCTGGGTGGGGTGAAGGGAACACAACCCACACTGTCTCCTTTATCTTCATTCTGATTTCTGACAATCCAGGAGACCATGGTGAGCCTGAATCTGAAGGAATCTTACCTGAGCTCAGGGCAGCCAGGACAGGTGTGGGGGGCAGAGAACACATCTTCTATTTGGTGGTGTATATATTTAATTCAAGAACTATGGTACTTCTTGAGTCTATGGGGTTTCTTACTCCAGTGTGTCTAATTAATACTTCACATTAGAATTAATGATTATCTGGGATCATAAAGCCCCATTTCCCACTGCCCTGCATGGGTAAGTAATTTCAAATAAAATCCTGTGGTGCAGGAAATAAGGCCTCAGAAGCTGTTTCTGTGTGCCTCCACCTGCAGACTGACTTTGTTTGGCTCCTAGGAAGGAACTCTGGGAGCTATCAGATAAGACAGGTAAAGGCAGATTCTCAGGAAGAAACTCCTCTTGATGGGGAGTTTCTTCTTAAGGTGGGGAAAAGACTAGAAGAAGCTCCACCTCCCACCCAAGGACCATGTGATATGATAGCCAGCAAGAACCATTTCTGAAACTAGGAAAAGAGAGAAGAAAAAAGAGATAGACGGGTGTTTCAGAGCACTTATATTTGCTAAGAAGTGACTGAGATTTAATTCATCAAGTTGATTCACATTGAAACCAGTAGAATGCTGCCCTTCCCTTGTCCCCATCCTCTAGCAAGCAATGCACCATTGCTTATCTGCACCATGACCTCAGAGGGAGTGTGACGCTTCCTCCAGGGCTGCCCTAGCAGGAGTATGCACTTGGCTTTCAGGCTTATGAATGCTGTGCAGGACACACAAGGCAGCTGGGAAGCCCCATGGGAATGCAGTGCTGGGCTCCCAGGACATTTGCTGGCTCAAGGTGGGCACCGAAGAGAGAATGCTGCCTACGCACTCCCCACGGGGGTTGTCAATGCTTGTCATTGACATCTCTGGTTCCCTCTGAGATTATTGTGCATTTTTTCAGAAGAACTTTAGCAAAGTCCATTTTATTTTCTTGTCTTTCTGGAGAGTGGCTTTGTAAGCAGATGCAGCTCCCATGTTTTCAGAGGCAAGATTCCTTTTTGCAGAGAAATGTGATGTTGTGAAGATCCAGGAACAGACTGTCTCACCCACTTTGCTCTTTGTCTCTCTCCTTTTGTTTATCTTCCCCTTCACCTCTCACACATCCTTGGCCCCTGACTCTTTAGTGCCCGTCTCTGTGTCTCGTACCTTCGCCTTCAGCAGAGGGGACTCTCTGGCAGGCTCCCCAGGTAAACATGCATGGCGTCTCAGGTCTTCAGATCCAATGTAGTTTGCAGGAGGCCTTTGGTCTCTGTCCCTGTCCTGCATGAGATCTTGTCTCTCCCAACAGGCACTCCCATGTCTACAGCATAGTGCACACACAGTCCAGGCATTTCTGGTTCAATGGCATTATTTATGAATTTCCCTCCCCAGCATGTATCTGTGTATATACATGGGAAGTGGTGGGGGTGAGGATAGTTGTGAGTTTTTCCTTATCATTTTTCTGATTGCAGATTGGAGGGATAGATCTCTGCCTTGAGCTAACCCATCCCTCTTTTACTAGTAATGTACCATGGAATAGTGATATTCCCTCTGACTGTGCTCAAAGGATGCTATATGTAAAAATTACAAAACATTTTTTCGTTAGGTTTAACCTCTCATGTTAATTAAGATTGCTGATTTGTTTTTAATCAAGTAAAACCTCATAGAGCTACACAGGAACTTATCGGCTAAATAGAATGTAATGAATCTGAACAAATAGCTGTTTATATTGTTTTCTTCTCCAGAGGTTATTCTCTTAGGCCCACAGAGCAAGTAATGACCAAAGCAGGAATTTATTTGTTCAATTGCCTTGCTGTTAGAAAGCAGTCCAATTTCCTATAGCCTCTACACCTGTGTCCCTTATCCCAATGTGCCATCAGACCCTCAATCATGAAGAATCCAGTTATGTTTTGCTGTCTGGATCGTAGACCCTCAACACTGAAAAGGGCTATGTCCTGAGACCTTAAACCCCGCTGTCTGCAACTTCAGAAGTATTTATGTTGACTTCTTTTTTCTCCCAAATCACATTTTTCCATCAAAAACCATCTGGTTCCCATGTTTATCTGTTCAAGACAAGTTAACCACCTTCTCAAATTTCATCAAAGTTTTCTCTCTCACTTGATGGTGATTTTCCACTAAAGAAATAAAGTTTTCCATGCTCATGCCTTCATGATGAATACCAGGTAGTACAGTCAATGTGAGATGCCAGTCTGGCACCCTTACCAGCTAAGTGGTCTATTCCTGCATGCCTGCAAAATTAGAAATGACCACATCATGGACCATCAAGATCCTTAACATGCGGTGAATCGCAGAGAATGCCAAGAGTATGCTGTGAATGTTCTGCAGGGGACACATTTTTAAAAGATTTTGTACTGAAAGTATCAAAGCAGCGGCATATTTCCCTTTTTTAAATTTTCTCATTTTTTTTTTCATGGCACTGGGGTTTGGACCCAAGAGCACTCAACCACTGAGGTATATCCCCTAGTACCTTTTATTTTTTAGTTTGAGACAAGATCTCTCCAAATTGCACAGGCTGTCTTAAACTTATAATCTTCCTATCTCTGCCCCATGAGTAGCTGGGATTACAGGTGTGCTACACCCTACCTGGCTGTATTTTCTTTTTAAATTAAATTCAGTTAACCAGTATCCTGTTAATTATAATTTCTCAGTTTAAGAAAGGTTAATTCAAGTTCATCAATATTTATTATGACGAACTTCATGGCAACCTAGTCAGAAAGA